TTGCAGTTTTGAATGAGTTTCTTAATCCTGTGTTCTAATTTTATTGCACTATGGTCTGACAGACTATTACGATTTCTGTTCTTTTGCATTTGCTGAGGAATGTTTTATCTCCAATTATGTGTCCATTTTAGAATAAGTGTGATGTGGTGCTGAGAAGAATGTATATTTTGTTAATTTGGGGTGGAGAGTTCTGTAGATGTCTATTAGGTACACTTGGTTCAGAGCTAATTTCTGAATATCCTTGTTAATTTTCTGTTTTGTTAATCTGTCTAATATTGATAGTGGTGTGTTAAAATCTCCAACTATTATTGTGTGGGAGTATAAGTCTCTTTGTTAGTGTCTAAGAACTTGCTTTATGAATCCAAGTGCTCTTGTATTGGGTGGATCTATATTTAGGATAGTTAGCCCTTCTTGTTGCATTGATCCTTTTACTGTTATTTAATGTCCTCCTTTGTCTTTTTATCTTTATACTAACAAAGATAAAAAGACAAAGGAGGACATTAAATAATAGTAAAAGAAACTGCAGTTTTTTTTTTTTTTGCTTTCTATTTGCTTTCTAAATATTCCTCCCTCTTTTTATTTTGAGCCTATATGTGCCTTTGCATGAGAGATGGGTCTCCTGAATACAGCACACCAACAAGTCTTGACTCTTTATCCAATTTGCCATTCTGTGTCTTTTAATTGGCTCATTTTGTCAGTTTACACTTAAGGTTGATATTGTTATGTATGAATTTTACCCTGTCATTCTGATGATAACTGGTTATTTTGCCTGTTAGTTGATGCTGTTTCCACATAGTGTTCATGGACTTTACAATTAAGTGTTTTTTGCAGTGCCTGGTACCATATTTTTTCTTTCCATATTTAGTCCTTCCTTCAGGAGCTCTTGTAAGGCAGGATGATGGTGACAAAATTTCTCAGCATTTGCTTGTCTGTGAAGGATTTTATTTCTCCTTCACCTATAAAACTTAATTTGTCTGGATATGAAATTCTGAGTTGGAAATTTTTTCTTTAAGAATGATGAATGTGGGCCCCCAGTCTCTTTTGGCTTGTAGGGTTTTTTTTTTTTTTAAGAGAGAGAGATCTGCTCTTAGTCTGATGGGCTTCCCTTTGTGGGTAACCTGATCATTCTCTCTGGCTGTTCTTACCATTTTTTTTTTTTCACTTCAACCTTGGAAAATCTGTTGATTGTGTCTTGTGGTTGATCTTCTCTTGGAGTATCTTACTGGGGTTATCTGCATTTCCTGAATTTGAATGTTGGCCTACCTTGCTAGGTTGTGGAAGCTCCTCTGAATAATAGTGTGAAGAGTATTTTCCTACTTGATTCCATTCTCCCCATCACTGTCATGTACACTAATCAAAGGCAGGTTTGGTCTTTTCACTTAGTCCCATATTTCTTGGAAGCTTTGTTCATTCCTATTTATTCTTTTTTCTGTGCTTTATTTCATTAAGTTGATCTTCAATCTCTGATATCCTTTCTTCTACTTGATCAATTCAGCTATTGATACTTGTGTATGTTTCATGAAGTTCTAGTGCTGTGTTTTTCAGCTCCATCAGGTCATTTATGCTCTTCTCTAAACTGGCTATTCTAGTTAGCAATTTCTCTAATGTTTTTTTCAAGGTTCTTAGCTTCCTTGCATTGGGTTAGAACATGCATTTATAGCTCACAGGAGTTTGTTATTACCGACTTTCTGAAGCCTACTTCTGTCAATTTATCAAACTCATTCGCCATCCAGTTTTGTTTCCTTGCTGGTGAGGAGTTGTGATTCTTTAGAGGAGAAGAGACATTTGGGTATTTGGAATTTTCAACATTTTTACACCAGTTTTTCCTCATCTTCGTGAATTTATCTATCTTTGGTCTTTGATGCTGGTGACCCTTAGATGGGGTTTTTGTGTGGATGTCTTTTTTGTTGATGTTGATGCTATTCCTTTCTGCTTGTTAGTTTCCCTTCTAAAAGTCAGCCCCCTCTGATGCAGGTCCACTGGAGTTTGCTGGAGGTCCACTTCAGACCCTGTTTGCCTGGGTATCACCAGTGGAGGCTGCAGAACAGCAAAGACTGCTGCCTGTTCCTTCCTCTGGAAGTTATGTCCCAGAGGGTCGCCCACCAAATGCCAGCCAGAGCTGAAGCACTGTGCTGGGAGATCTGCTCTTTTCAGAGCCAGGAGCCAGAAAAGTTTAAATAAGTCTGCTGAAGCTGCACCCACACCCATCCCTTCCCTCAAGTGTTCTGTATCAGGGAGATGAGTGTTTGATCTTTAAGCCCCTGACTGGAGCTGCTGCCTTTCTTTCAGTGATTTCCTGCCCAGAGAGGAGGAATTTAGAGAAGCAGTCTGACTACAGCAGCTTTGCCAAGCTGCAGTGGGCTCTGGCCTGTTTGAACTTCCTAGTGGCTATGTTTACAGTGTTGTTAGGGGAGAACCGCCTACTCAAGCCTCAGCAATGGCAGATGCCTCCCCCAACTAAGCTTGAGCATCCCAGGTCAACTTCAGAATGTTGTGCTGGCAGCAAGAATGGCAAGCCAGTGGATCCTAGCTTGCTGAGGTACGTGGGGGTGGGATCTGCTGAGCAAGACCACTTGGCTCCCTGGCTTCAGCCCCCTTTCCAGGGGAGTGAATGGTTCCATACTGCTGGCATTCCAGGTGTCACTGATGTATGAAAATTATCTCCTGCAGCAAGCTTCATGTCTGCCCAAATGGCAGCCCAGTTTTGTGCTTGAAACCCAGGGCCCTGGTGGCATAGACACCTGAGGCAATCTCCTGGTCCATGGGTTGCAAATACCATGGGAAAAGCATAGTATCTAGGATGGAGTGCACTGTTCCTCACAGCACAGTCCCTCACAGCTTTCCTTGGCTACAAGAGGGAGTTCCCCAACCCCTCATTCCTCCCAGGTGAGGCAATGCCCCACTCTGCTTCGGCTCACCCTCCATGGGCTGCACCCACCATTTAACCAGTCCCAATGAGATGAGCCAGGTACCTCAGTTGGAATTGCAGAAATTACCTGCCTTCTGCATTGATCTCACTGGGAGCTGCAGCTAGAGCTGTTTTTATTCAACCATCTTGCCAAACACTCCCTTAAATTTTTTATTTTTGATTTGGGTTGAGAATATAATTACTGAAGTTTTCAATGGGAGCTATTTTATAAAGTACATTGTAATATTTCAATAGAAATATACACTAAATATTTTCCTAACAGATAGTGATATACCCATCAAAACATTTTTGGTAAACAAATTCAGAAAACAATTATAAAAGGTAATAAGGTAATTTAAAAGTTGTTATTTTCAACAATTTTAATCAGTTTTAGACCTACTCTGTTTGATGTGGCATGGTTTTTGTTTTTTATAACATGACATTATGGGTGATTTTTCTTGCTGTTACTTGCAAGCAAGAGTCCCAAAAAATTAAATTATTAGAATATAGCTTGTGAGCATTTAATAAATGGAATTGTTGAATTGTAGACAACATCTGGGCTTCATTAACAAATGTATACCTTAATGCCAATCTTCTTTTGATATGTTAAGGTTTAGATGACAGTCATGAGAATGCAATAAATTGGTTGTGTCCGCATGTCAGCAGGGTATTTTCCTAGGCTTTTCTTGATTTTGTGGTGTATTATATAAAGTTATGTGAACTTGATGAACATTGCAACAAGAATCCAGGGTCTATTTCTCTTTTGTCTTATTTATTTTCCCATTATCAAATTTTGTGACTTCCTACAGAGAATGAGGTAAGTGTCAACCTGTGGGAGAAGTCTAGGGCCATGCCTTCTCTATCTTTGGTCATTAATTTATCATTGCAATTTTTCATAGTTTTAAGTATACAAGTAATTTACATCTTTGTGCAGATTTATCCCTAAGCCTTTAATATTTTTAAATTACACTGTTCTAAGTTTCAACTTTCAGTTGTTAAAATTAACTTCCAGTCCACCCTAGGACTACCATTGGCTGAAACATTGCCTTTTCTAATAATATAAACTTCTAATATATATAAACATACAATTGATTTGTGTGTTGATCTCTTACTCTGCAATCTTGCTGACAACAATTCTTATAGAAGCACTTTTTTTAGATTGACTTTTCTACATATGTTCTCATGTAGTCTTTAACAAAAGATAACTTTACACTTCTCCCATTCCAATCTGAATGCATTTTTTTCCCACTGGACACAATCTCCAGTATAAAGTAAAACTATACACACACTGGTGCACATGTTTGTTGGTCTTAGATTGTGGTATCCTGCATGTAAACACTCAGAACAACTTCCAACACTTGAATATGCACTCCTTCCCCCACTGCACATACTGGTAGAATTCATGTTGGGATACTACATTTACTGTGAACATACAATGCTAATTTGAAACAAAACTAGGATACACAGTAAGTAATGTTTATTCACTAAAGTTTTGACAGACTGAAAGCCATCATTTCAGGTTGGAAATAATAGGACACTTAAATGAACTACATGGACATTGGATAAAAGAGTATGGGTTGAAATTTGCCTGGAAGTAGGCTAAAAATAAATTGTGCATATGAAGGAACTGTAGGGGGGAAGTGGGATAATTCACATCTCCACGAATAATTAGATGTAGCCACACTAGCTTGACGGGATTTCAGGTGAGCCATCTAAAATGCTAGGTCATGGTGGGGGCTGGAAGATAAAAAATGGATTACTTAATATGAAGGGCTGTGGGGAAGAGCTTGAAGGAATCATCCTCTCACTTGATGTGAACCATGAACATTAAACATGGAGAAATGAGGGGTGTTGCAGATCAGTTTGGGAATGCATCTTCAGGGGATGGTGAAACAACAACAGCATTTGGTTTTCTCTACATCCCTTTCATCCTTTGCCCCCAAGCCCAGGGAGTTGTCAGGGAGTTGCCAGGGAGTTGTCAGGGAAGGTACTTTGTGATGTCAAAGCCATCCTAGGACTGCCATTGGCTGGGACACTGCCTGTATGATCAAACAAAGCTCAAGGGTGTGGCTTTGCCTGGTCACCAGGAGGGTGTATATAGGGAGGGCAAGAGCTCTGGGAAGACCCACTGGCAAGCTTCAATGTAGCTGTGGGTATCTGTACCCTATAAGGGCCTAGTATACCCATTCTAGTACCTGCCATAATTATGGAAGGTCCAACTTCAAGCACCAACGGGAAGAAGAGGAAGAGGAGTCCCTGTGAATCTAGTAATAAAGAAAGTGATGAGGTAAGATTGTTCAGTTTTGTAGGGAAAGCTAGGGTGAGAGAAGGACACATAGAGAGGGGGCGGCTCAAATAGCACAGAAATATTGCAGGCACCTGTGGAAGTTGGGGGCCAGCTTAATGCCATAGCCCACTGCGGCTTACAGTCTGGGTTACTTACAGGCGTGGGTGGGAGGGATCTAAGCACTGTGGTTTGCTGACCAGCAGGTTATTTATGAGATGTTATTATGGTCAGATGGTTTGGCCCTTTTTCTGGTGAAATATCATTGTGGTGTTCCTTAGAGCTTTGCCAAGCAAGATGTGATAGTGATGTTTCTTTAGTTGGGCCTTTGTCTGCCCTGTGCTCACGTGATTAGGCAGGATGTTTCTCACAGCCTGAACCCCCATGGAATGTTTCACTTTGACTAAGGCCTGCAAAATAGCAAAGAGCTTACAAAATGGTGCCATTTGGACTAACACAGATGACCCTAGCCATGCTCCTCTTGTTCTTCCCCATAGATCCTTACCCTATGTTTTCACCTCGTTTCTCTGGCACAAACCCCTCTCTCAAACTGCCTTCTTTCTCACAAAGCCCTCCCTGCTATCTAGTCTCTACCCTATTTACCCCAAATAATAGCTTTCTGGCCTCCCCCTGTTTTCTTAGCAGAAGCAGAAGACAGTGAAAACAGACTCAACTCCTGTACAAAGAAGTTTGAAGAAGACCAAAAAATCAAAACATTTAACAGTATTAGAGTGTTCCTACGAGAAGGATGAGAAAATAAATTCAAATCAACTGGGGAATGACCAATTCAAAGAGATATCCACTGATCCAGTCCAAGAGAAGATGGAGGAAGACCTAGAGTCATTTAAAGTATCTTCACAGGAGGATGAAGACCTAGACTTCTGCGACGTATCTTCACTAGAGGATGAAGACCTAGACTTATGCGAAGTATCTTCACTAGAGGGTGAAGACAGAGATGACTCATCTCAAGGATGCTCACAGGAGTATGGAGAGTGTTCATCACACATGCAGAAACCAAATTAGACAAATCATCACCACTGATGGCAATGATTATAATAAAATCAAGTGTGAGGAGCTGATGACTGTGTATATCTCTGCCTGTTTTCTGGTGGTGAGGAGGATGGGAAGGGAGAAGTAGGCATTTGGTAAGGGAGGGGTGTGAGGTTCTGTAGAGTTGGTTGACAGACCCACAGGTTAACAGCCAGATATTGTAAATAAGGACCAGGGGAGGACTGATTCTTGGAGAAAATTTTTCTTCTTAAAATTTTATATCATCACAAGAGAGGAAGAAAAGGGCTTGATGTTTCTTGGAGTGTATGAATGTGTAGAAGGGCATATAAAAAGTTCTGTATTGGCTGGATGTAGTGGATCACACCTGTAATCCACTACAGGGAGGCAGAGGCAGTGGGATCACCTGAGGTCAGGAGTTTGAGACCAGCTGGGCCAGCATGGCGAAAACTTATCTCTACTTAAAAAAATGACAAAAATTAGCCAGGCATGGTGGCAGGCACCTGTAATACCAACTACTCAGGAGGCTGAGGAAGAAGATTCACTTAAATTCCACAGGTGATAGTTTCAGTAAGCTGAGATCACACTACTGCACTCCAGCCTGGGGGTAGAGTGAGACTCTGTCTCCAAAATAATAATAAAATAAAAAGATCTGCATTGTATATAGGTGACAGTGACGCTCTTTCCAAAGTGAAGACATCAAAATCACCACTTCCAGGCCATATACCTCATAGTGGTATATGTAACTCACCCAATGCTGTGAGCAACTGAAAGGACCAAAAGAACCAAAATCCTCAATCTACATGAAGTAAGACAGCAGGCCACAGACCCTAAAATGATGGTGTTTGAAAGCTGTGGTCCCAATAGTAGGGCATTTCTTTGTTAAGAAACTGTAGGTGGAGCAGTAGCCTACCAAATGTGGGACACATTTCGCTGGGCCCAGGGCCCCTGCTGCTCTCTGCAGCTTCTGGACATGGCACCCTGAATTCTGTTGCTTCAGCACCAGTTGTGGGTAAAAAGGTGGATTCCGCATGGTTGGTGTTGGGCTTATGGTGCAAAAACATCAAGAATTGAGGTTTGGGAACCTAACAAGAGCATCATGCATAGCTACTTACAAAAGAGATAAGTTAAGCATAGATATCCATGATTAAAATTGTAACTAAATTATGAAACACATGAGAGGGGATCTAAATATTGCTATTGCTGGATTAAACACTCAATGCATACCTTTTATAAACATAACCATGTTCTATGATCTTGATATTGGTGTCTGTAAAATATATTCCTACTTTTACCTTAACAATAATGCATTATTTTGTGTAGTCATATAACACTAGATGAGTGTCAACTGGGAACACACTATCAGAAATACCAAAATCTCTTACTTGGCTTTCTAGAATATTCATAATTATACTCCATTTTCTTTACTGATCTTTCTACCAGGTTCTTTTCATTGCTCCAGTAAAGTAAAAAGTTTTAAAGACTTTCATGGAGGACTGACTTCTTCTCCTATACCCCATTATTTTGAACTCTAGCTCACCCCAACACAGCTTACAAAAACATTATAGGAGGGACAAGAAGCAACATTGCAGTTAAGAGCATGCATTTAGGAACCACTGTCTACTTTTGTGATGTGGGGCAAGTAATATGGCCCCCTATATGCTTCAGTTTCCCTACCTCATGGAGTTATCAGGATAATTGAATTAAATTAAATTAAGGATAACCGACTTGTAAAACACTTAGAACAATTTGAGGCACATAACAGGTATTATGTAGAAAGATTTAAATCAACAAATAAGTCTAGGCTTAGAACAGACATTACCACCTCCAAGAATCTTTCCATAATTTTGATCTCACAAAACCAGGTTACATGTCCCTTCCCTTTAAATTCCTCCTGTATGTGCTCTGGCTTCTCATTATATTCATCACAGTATATCACAGTTGTCAGTTGTTCTTAGGATTTCCCCATTGAAGTTATCAACAGGGAAGATGTTCTACAGCTGACAAATGCAAGTTTCTGTATGGCAGGAATGTTATCTTTTGGCCATCTATCAGATCCCTAGTGCCTAGGATAGTATCAAGCACAGATATTATGTAACTGCTAATGAAAAAAAAATGTTGAATTATCTAAACTTTTCATCTGCTAAGATTCTTACTCCTTTTATATGCCCACCTATTACAGTCCTTCACATTATAGATACACAATAATAACATTAATAGTAATTAGAGTAATGAATATATACCTGTCATAAACTGCCTTAGTCTGTTTTGTGCTGATACACTTGAATATCTATCTAAGACCAGGTAATTTATAAATACAAAAACATTTCTCCAACATTTCTAGAGGTTAGGAAGCTCAGGATCAAGTCATCAGGATCTGATGAAGGTCTTCTTCCTCTATCCTCACATGGTGGATGTGAAATTTGCTGTATTTGCTGATAACATAATCTTACATAAAGAAAAAAAAAAAAACCTGGCTGTGAGCGGTGGCTCATGTCAGTAATCCTAGCACTATGGGAGGCTGAGAAGGGTGGATCACATGAGGTCAGGCATTCAAGACCAGCCTTCCCAACATGGCAAAACCATGTCCCTACTAAAAATTTAAAAATTAGCTGGGCATGATGCTGTCACCTATAATCCTAGCTACTCAGGAGACTGAGGCAGGAGAATTGCTTGGACCCTGGAGGCAGAGGTTGCGGTGAGCCGAGATCGCGCCATTGCACTCCAGCCTGGGTAACAAGAGCGAAACTCCATCTCAAAAAAAGAAAAAAAAGAAAAAAACCCTAAAGACTTTACCAGAAAACTGTTAGAATTGATAAATGAATTAAGTTGCAGGATACAAAATCAACATTAAAATTTAGTAGCATTTCTATGTATTAGTAACATATAATCTGAAAAGATAATAATGAAAACAATATGATTTAGAGCAGTAACAAAAAAATTAAATACTTAGGTGTAAATTCCACTAAAGAGGAAAAATACCTGGATACTGAAGACTGTAAAACACTAATAAGAGTAAAAGACACAAATAAATGGAAAGAATTTTCATATTCATAAATACTATGAAAACGTCCATATTACTCAAAGTAAAGTCTTATTGCAATCCCTATCAAAATGCTAATGCTATTTTTAAAATAAATTAAAAAATGTAAAAATTTTTTTGTGATATTGCTTTTCTGGCTGGAAACCTCTGTGGCCAGGGACACCTTTGCCCAAGTCCTTGTCCTGTGTCCAGGAAGAATGAGGTATGCACAGAAACAGAAGGTGAGAAAGATGAAGAGTAGCTTTACTTAGTATTAGAACAGCTCAGAGGAGACCTGCAGTGAGTAACTCCTCTCTGTAGGCAGGTCATCCTGTCATCTTTGCACTTCTCAGCAGAGAAGAGGTTGAAGTGTGTGGATCCTCTCTGCCAGCGGGGCATCCTGAGGAGTGTTTAGCTCTCAGCAGAGAGGAGGCCCTGGAGAGAATAGCATCTCTCTGGGCTGATTTTCCTGATGTCTGCTGCTCCCAGCAGACAAGAAGCCTTGGAGAGGGTGGCCCCTCTCTGTAAGCATGTCATCCCAATGTCTGCAGCTCTTAACAAAGAGAAGGCCCTGGAGAGTTTAGCTCCTGTCTCCAGCTGGTCACCTTGATGTCTACTCTGCTCTGGTTAAGTCTGCAGTTTTTATGGTCTTCAGAGGAAGAAAGTGCATGCTGATTCCTCCATGGACAACCATGGGTTCTCCTTCCCATCCACAGTACTGGCAGAGGAACCCACGAGCTTCAGGACTTTTCTGGCCTGAAGGTGGGGCATCACCAGGAGCCTGCCCTCTTCTGCCCAGAGTCTGTCTGCCTTCCACCGCCATTCCTGGTGCCCATACTGTTTGTGCCAAGTGGTACCTGAAGGCTAGCACTGTTATATACCCCCACCACCTGGTACCTCTGCTTCCCTCCTATATTCATCTGTGCCCAAAATCCAGAGGGGTAAATGTGGCAGGGGCCTAGAATGTCCACACTGGCAGAAGTGTGCACTCACCCAGCCAGGCTGCAATAGCACCAGAGCTCAGCCCCAACTTTGTTCCAAGTTCAGAGTGGGCTCTGGTAGTGGGGAGAGGCCAGGCAATTAGAACAGGCACTTCTGAGCCTGTGAGTGCTAAGGAGATCTTCCCAGGTTCCTAAGAGTACAGAGAATCCTGGGTCTGCAGCCAGTTTTGGATGACTTGCAGCTACACCCGGGGACCTCCTTCTCAGCCAACTTGAAAGGGGTGGGGTTCCCACTTTTCCCCAGCTCCTGCAGACTCTGTGGAGTGTGCACCCTCACCCACACCTCTGATACTGGAGCAGGTGCCGGCAATGGGGAGAAGGCCGGCAGCGGGAGAAGGCACTTCTGAATGTGAGTGGTAGAAGACCCTCCCAGGTCTCCAATAGCACAGAGATACCCAAATCTGGAGCTGTAGTGAAGCTACAGCCTGCTCTATGGAGCAGGAGGTCCAGGCCCAAGGGGACAGGGCTCCTGCCTGCTTAATGGAGTGTATAGCCCTTCCTGCAGCAGTGGCATCCTGGCAATGGCCACTCTATATGAGCCACTGCTGCCATCAAAAATACTTCATTTACTACAGAACCAAAAGAGAATCTATATGGCCAAAACACTCTTGAGCAGAAAGAGCAATGCCAAAGGCATCACATTCCCTGATTTAAAAATATATTACAAAGCTACAATAATTAATGCAGCATGATACTGGCACAAAGACAGACAGACAGACAAATGGAACAAAAGAAAAACCCCCAAACTAAACTAAACTATTTATGGTCAACTGATTTTGACAAAGGTACTAAGAACATACAATGGGGAAAAAGGAGCCTCTTCAATAAATCGTACTGAGAAAACTGGATGCACACAGGCAGCATAATGAAATTAGTCCCTTTTCTCACACCATATACAAAATTAAATAAAAAATGAAGACTTTTTAAACTTTTATTAGAAGTTCAGGGGTGTGTGTGCAGAATGTGCATGTTGGTTACATAGGTGAACATTGTCATAGGGGTTATACAGATTATTTTATCACCTAGGTACTAAGCCTAGTATCTATTA